TGACGGCCCGGGGCGGCATGGCCCGCACCAGGGCGCTGGGCAGCATGGCGCAGCTGCTGTCTAGGAACTGCTGGGGTAGGGCCTCAGGGGCCGGGGGGTCCCGGAAGAACCGGACGCCCTCGGTGAAGAGCTCCCCCAGCAGGCGCCAGTCCCCGGTGCCGTGCCGCTTCTCGTATTCCAGGTACTTGTAGCCGGAGGAGATCACCTTGCCGGGGTCCTTGAGGCAGTCGTGGAACATCTGCTTGGCCAAGGCGAGGACGCCGGCGTAGACGCTGCCCGAGCCACACGGGTACTCGACAAAGAGCTTCAGCTCGAACTCGTAGCCGGGCCGGGGGGCGGCGTCGAAGGCGAAGATGCGCCCCACCAGCGCGTGGTCCTTCTTGAAGCGCACGTTGAAGGGGGCGCAGGCCGAGAGGGCCAGCAGCTGCTCCCGCACCGCCTTGGGCTTGCCATGCCACTCCTCCGCCCGGCCCCGCAAGGCCTCGCTCAGCTCGGCCAGGCACTCCGCGTTGCGCTGCTTCTCCTTCTCGTACTCGCCGCCGTAGGGGCCCCGCGCCTTGCCCAGCTCCCCTAAGAGGGGCGAGGCAGCCGCCAAGCCCAGGCCGGGCCCCCGGGGCCCCAGCCCCGACACGGCAGCCAGCAAGCCCTGCGGCGCCCCCATCAGTCCCAGGTTGGGCGGCACGGGGCCCATCAGTGCCCGCCGGGCAGTGGGGCTCTGCCGGCTGCCTTCGGGTCCCCCGTCCTCCGCCCGGGGCAGGCCGTTGGGCAACCGGGGGCTGAGGGTGTAGTCGCCAGGCCCCCGGGCCCGCTCGTAGCGCTCCAGCCCGGCCCGGTCCAGGGGCCCTCCGTCCTTGGCATGCTTGACGGCCTGGGGCCCCGGCGAGCGGGCGTCCTGCATGGCGTGGCTGCGTTTCAACTGCCGCGCCGTCTCGATGAGGAACTCGATGCGATCGGCCCCTTCGAAGTTCACGCAGCCCCGGCACACGGCCTCGCTGAAATCCCAGATCATGGCCCACGGCATCTTGGGCAGGTCGCACAAGTAACACCACTGCCGGCGGGACGCCTGCACCGCGGCCATGGCGCCGCCTTCCAGCAGCCCCGGCGCCGCCTTGCGCGCCCGGCTCACTTGCGCGCCCCGCGCAGGGCCCCGCGCAGCCTAGGAGCGGCCCGATCAGCGCTCCCCCGCCGCTCAGCCGCCCGCTGCGGCTGCTGCCCTGTTCATGGAGAAACTTACATAACTCCGCCGCGGCGCCTGCTGGGACATGTAGTCCCGTCCGCCGGGGCCGTCTTAAAGGGGCACCGGCCTGGTTGGGACCCGTCCTCCCCTCCCCCCTTGGCCGGACCCCTCCCGCCGCCTGCGGGAGTACGGGCCATCCAGGGTGGCTAAGGATATTGTTAATGAATGTTTTGGGGCCGTTTCCCCCTCCCGGGCTTGTTATACTAAGGGGGGAAACTGAGGCCCGTCGCAGCAAAGGGATTTGTCCAGGGTCACCCAGTGAGTCAGCCTAGATCCCATTCCCCTCCCAAAGTCAGGCATACAACCCAGGAGTCCTGGCTCCCAGCCCTGCCCCTCCCAACCACTAGACCCCACTCCTCACCCTCAACCAGAAACAGAACCCAGGCATCCTGGCTCCCAGCCCCCCTCCCGCATCGCACTGAGGCTGACCCCACCAGATCTCATAGTGATAGCAGCGACCCACGGGCTTCCCGCTCCAATCCTGGTTTGACCCCCCGACCCCTGCCTCAGCTGAGGGGCTAGAGCTACCCCCCGGGGGCTCTGGATGGGGAGAGCGCCCCCTACGGAGTCCCCCTGCCTGCCCCCTGGGTTTGCCCCAGCAGGCGGCAGGGCGGGGGCCATGCAGTAAATGGGCGGGAGAGAGGGATGGGGGGTGTCCGACGGGCGCCTTCCAAGGAGCGGGGGCGGGGCGGGATAGAGGCCTGAATGCAGCCACCTCTGGGGTGGGACCCAGCGAACCGCGTGGCACCAAACACACAGAACCTCCCTCATCTGTGCCTGGGGGGGCTCAGAGTCACTCCTGCCCCAGGCGCTGTCCGTCCGTCCGTCCGTCCTTCCTTTCACACTCATCCATCTTTCTTTCCACCTTCCCGCCCCCCATCCCCCCTTCACGACGGGTTTGGCCCCGGCGGGGTGCGGCCCCCACCCCCTCTCGCCTTGGCTGGGGAGGCCGGCGGGGCTCCAGCCCCGGAAGGGTTAATAGCTCGATCCTGCCGCGGGGTGGGGTGGGAGAGGGACTACGATTCCCAGAATGCCCCGCGGCCCCCAGCTGGCCGCGCTCCCAGCCGCGCTGCGCGGCGCCCAGCCGTGGGGAACCATCCGCGTGTCGACCCCCCCCCCCCCCGGCTGGCCCCCAAGGGGGGACCGGCCCGCCCGCTGCAACCGCAGCCCCCGTCCCTGGGAGGGGCTGGAGCCCAGATACCCCGGTGAGGGGCGTGCTGGGGCTGGGAGAGAGGCATGTGTGTGGGGCAGTGGAGAGAGGGGTACAGAAAGGGGGTGGCGGGGCTGGAAGGGGGAGTGTGGGGATAGATGGACAAAGAGGTGAGGGATGGAGGAATGGTTAGAGGGGTGTTTGGGGGGGATGGGTGGAGGGAGAAGGGAGGGATGGATAGAGGGGTGGGGGAAGGGAGAGAGGGATGGATTGAGGGGTGTAGGGGAGGGATGGAGGGAAGGGTGCGGGGATGGAGAGAGGGATAGATGGAGGTGTGTTGTAAGGATAGATGGAGAGAAGGGCGTGTGAGGGAGAGGTGGGGGAGGGATGGATGGAAGGGTGCGGGGATGGAGAGAGGGATGGATGGAGGTGTGTTGTAAGGATAGATGGAGAGAAGGGCGTGTGAGGGAGAGGTGGGGGAGGGATGGATGGAGGGGTGTGGGGGAGAG